GAACCACCTGCGGATCTGTCTGATTCCGTACCACCCTGCGGCCCAACCACCGACAGTACCCTCTCGCAACCGCTTTCTCCTCCTCCCCGCCACCTCCACTCGTCCTTTCTCGGCAACAAAACGTTTCCATTCCCCGTTGGCGGCGTGCCTCCTTCCAAGGAGGAGGCAAATACACGTAAACGCACACAAACACGTGCGCGCGCGCACACACGCACACGTACAATACACAGCCGCGAACGAACAGCCATGCAAAAGGGAACGGCGACTGTATTGCAGATCTGTAATACTCCTACCCCTTCTGAGAGAATAGCGGGCGAACTCGCTTGCTACCTCTACACCTTCCTCATTCGAACCCGCCACCGCCGCTGCCGTCATCGTCGACACCGCCTTTCCACCCTCATCCCCCCCGACGAAGCCGACTTCCTGGTCAATAACCTCGGCGGCGTGTACGCGACATAATCGTCAAATGTTCGCGATCGGGATAAATGTATCGTTCGGGAATAGCCCTCACCACGCCCGTGGCGTTGAACCATTTCTGACGTCGGAAGTGCGATAGTGTTCATTCACAACTTCGTTGTTGCATAATGAAAGAAAGCTGCGTAATATTTTATTAACAGTTCTTTCTCCGGAAGATCGTGAAATTGTTATGATCTCGGTGAGCTCGACAGCTACGATCCTGTATAGATATGACGGAAATTTGTGTCTTCGTAAAATTGTCAATTCAAATAAATGCGAGAATCATTCTTGCCGGTTCGTGAAACAGAAATCCGAGTAGAAATCCGTAATCGAAATGACTACGCGGTAGTTTTCATATTTTTATCGCACGACGTGCAGTAAGGACCTTTCCTCCAAACTTGGTAATATCGTGCTACGCGAAGAGATAATAAAAACGCCTTCCTGCAAAGTGAGCTTTCAGAAGTTTACGTTGTACTAGAAAGTTCCGTTATTTATGTCTGTCTCTTATTAATTATTATGGTATATAAATACCAAGTTAATACGAACTTGCTGCAAGCTAACTACTAGGAAAGGCTTTATACAAGATAAATACTCCTTAATTTTTTTTTTCACGGGACACGCTATTTTTATTTTCAGATGTAAAATAATTTGAGATTATTATTTTCCCCTCTCTCAACTATCATTTGACGTTCCTCCGTAATTATGGAAGCAAATAAACCGTGCATTAATACTAAATATTTATATAGTGTACAAATATATATATATATATATATAACATAAAAATATGTAACATACAATAACTAAATTTAATCGGAATTACGATAAAATGTGTCGGGGAAAACATTGCTGTCCAGTGCTAATTGCGCACAACTGATCCAGAAATATTTATCCGCGATATTTACACGAAGCGCAGTATTTCGAGTCAACGGCGCATAATAAATTGGAAGGTTTCTATGAACTCAACGACTGCAAAGTGATGCCATCTGTGGCACTTGGCGCGAAACTCGTCTTAAAAATCATCCCCCAAGAGATCAATACGCCGTAGGGGTAGACAACGGTCTGCAAAATACAACGTAGCAGCACCGGGAATCCGGCGCGTTTAATCTTTCCGGGCAATCGGAGACGCGCGCAACGGCAAGAAAATATCGTTCGCCTTCGTTATTTATTAAATTAAACATCCCTCTCGGACAAACCCTTCGAGCGGCGATCGCCTCGCTAACTTTTCGCACGGAATACCCTTGAATTATTGCCACGTCGTAAACGCTCGTGCTCCCGAAGCTCGATACTTTATTGCTTCTCTCGAGATTAAAAAGTTGCAGGCAGTTGCAATAGAGTGCTTTCGGCACATTGTGACATCAGGCGTCATGTTTTAGTACGTCGCATGTGCATTATGGAGCGACACAACTTATCGACGAATGGGATAGATATGTATATAACGGCGACCAGTGGAGTTAGGACACGAGAATATACCGTAAATCTCGTGCCTCGGCTTCGCCGGATATTAGATATTTAGTACAAAGTCTATCGGAATCTGATCAACCGATTCAGGGCACATGTATAACGAACATTTTCCAAAGTGTCGGAGCTTATAGGGCGAGCAAACAGAGAACCGACATTGTCTGCATGTGTACTCCGTGTTGTGTGTGTGTGTGTGTGTGTGTGTGTGTGTGTGTGTGTGTGTGTGTGTGTGTATGCGATTACAGCACAGTTCCACATAACTTTAGTCAAATACGAAAGAAGATTCTATTGTTCGCATACGATCGAATTATGGAATATTGTTTTCGACTGTTCTCGTAAATATTAATTAACGTTAATCATAATTCAACAGATTTGCCGTTTCTGCCTGGAAATAGAACTGGGACGAGACAGAGGATTGATTAAATTTCAATTAACTTTAACGAAAATTTATGGGAACCGGCCGCGTCGAATAAATGAGGTCGTACGATTTTCGAGCGTTATTCGCGAGCCTTTAAGGCTTTAATTACGAAAACAGATTAAGTGTCAAGAAAAAGTTACGCAATCAACGATCGAATAATAGTTTTGATGGAAATAATATTTCTTTGGGGATGTTGCTGTTAATTTAAAAAAACTCTTTTGGTTGTATTCCTGATCAGAACATTTCTTAATTAATAAAAACGAATCGATTGAATTGTTAAAAAAAGAGATACTTTTAGATGCAATTGAGCTACTCGACTGCGGCAGAAACCATAAAAAAAACCCGACAGCGATTGAACAAGCCGGTCGGTGAAGACCCGTAGTGTATTCGGGTCAGGCATTTGGCTTACGGGAAGCTTTTGCAAAGGTTTCCACGCGAGTGTCTCCTTTGTGGCTTCTAATGACATAATTCGATTTCCATCGTGCCGCATTAAATCCATATTCGGCGATGTTGCGCACGGGCGCGCGCGCGCACCTTTCGTGATACTCCTGCTCTCTCTTTTTCTCTTTATTCTCTCTTCCTCTCGCTCTTTCAAACATCCTCGTGGAAAACGCCTCGCAAAGACGTGGCCTTTCACCGAGCAGACACGTTCAGGCAAATCTCCTCCTTACTGCTAATCTCGTTATCGCTGCCGATCCACTGATTGTGCTTTCGATAAGTTTCGTAAACGATTGTCGTCACGCTTTCGTCCACGGCGAAAATTCAACTCGCCGCAAAAGTAGGGCGTGTACATCTCGTTCGATCGTTTCGTTCCTTTTGATTTGTTACCGTCGTCTGTCATCGTCGGTGGGCGGACTGAACTTCACGGAATTAATTAGCGCGACCCCTGATACGCGCGCGAAAAATGCAGATCTCTCGTCTTCCTGACACGTCCGACTCTCTTCGAATGTCATTATTTCAACAATAAAGACGAGCTTTTTCGCGGGGACTCGATGGGAGGCTACAACGAATCTC